TTGGGGATTTGTACCCTTTTTATGTAATATCATTAAATATAGGGCCCTTGGAGTATCTAAAAATAGTATTTTTTATTACAAGAATCTGTATTTAAACGAGCCAAGATATATTATTGATATCATTATTCTGTCGATAATTCAATATATTGGAACTTAAGTCCATTTTCATAATACTAGGGTCAAAAATTTTCAGGGAAAGTTTTCTTGTATATATTCTTTTAGATATCAGCTTTTATATATTTTAAGTTTTCAATGTATTGTGGAAGTGTACAACTCCAAAACCTCCAGGCTTCAAGCCATAGTGTCATTATGGTCTAACTCAAAAATATCGATATCTGTTTAAATATTGATTACTATGATCAAAATAAACACAAAATTTTGGACTTACAGTGTTATTGTAATACGAATAGTAAAAACCGAAATCTACTGTATGGGATGACGTTTTGTAAAGGCATGTTTTGGAATTGTATACCGATATAATGTATTGAACATTTAAAATATATTAGTGATAATATGTACATGAATGTATACTAGCCAACTTTGTCGGAAAATATCGACCATATTGGTACTAAAAGGGATGAAAGGAGATCCATACAATTCAATTAGAAACAGAAGAACGATACCAAAAATACATCTTGGAACTTTTAAGTACAGATCCTTATAACAAAAATTATTATTTTTAGATACCTCAAGGGGTCTATTAAATCCCAATATTAAAGTTTGGTTTTATTTCTGAAAAAAAGGAAAAAAATTGCAAATATGGTCAAAAATCGCCATTTTAATGATATTACATGAAAAGATGGTACAAATGCTCCAAAATTGTGGAACAAATGGGCCAAAAATATATAATTTCGGTTGATAGTAACCCCTTAACACAATTTTAAGCAAAAAACCACTCGATTATAATTTTTGTGTTTCGTATAATATGGTCAAATATGAAATACAGGAAAAATTCGAATACTTTTATGAGGCAATTTTTTTAGTTTAGCAGAGAAAATATGAATAATATTTTATTGAAAATTTTCTAATTGACATAGAACAAATTACAAAGTTAAGTATGATTTCGTTTTATACATTTCGAACAAGTAAAAATGTAACAAGTTATAAATCTAACACCCCCACTCGAAATCTACTTTAAAACAACCCCAAAAGTTTACAAAAATTTAAATGCTTTTCCTTGGAAACGGGTTTAGTCAAAAAATCAGAAAGTTGATCATTTGTAGATATTCCAATAAACGAAACTTGATTTGATTGACGTTTTTCTCGTATGTAATGATGCCTTATATCAATATGTTTGGTTCTTGGATGATATACTTCATTCGAGGCTAAGTGTATTGCACTTTGGTTGTCACAATATATGTTAGTAGGAATTTGATCGTTAAATTCGAAATTAATTTCCTTTTCCAGCATTCTTAGCCACATGATTTCTTGTACTGCTGCCGATAAATATATTCGGCCTCGGTTGTAGATAATGCAATGGTTGGTTGTCGTTTGCTATTCCAGGATATTGCTGCATTTTGTAATAAATTAACATAACCAGTAACTGATCTTCGATCTTCCAAATCATTGCCCCAATCAGAATCTGTCTACGAAATAAGATTATTATTACCATTATTATAAAAATGTAACTTGTAATGAGTAGTTGCTTTCAAATATCGAAGAATTCGTTTCACAGCTGTCCAATGAATTCGGGAAGGAGCTTTATTAAATTTACTTAAACAATTTACAGCTTGACTTATATCAGGACGTGTGCATTGAGCAGAAAATAATAAACTACCAATTGCTTGTTGATACGGTACATTTTTCATTTTATCATCTTCACATTCGGATTTTGAAAATTTTTGATTAAGGTCCATCGGTGTAGATATTGGATTACAATTTTCCATTTCATATCTTTTCAGCATGTTTAGAATATATTCTTCTTGATCTAGAGTTATATGTTCATCAGTTTTAATTATCCGTATTCCTAAACATCGTTTTGCTTCACCTAAAAATTTCATTTTGAAATTTTTCATTAATTTTGTTTTAAATAATTGACTAAAATCATTATCATTAGTAAATAGCAGCATGTCATCTACATAAAGAGCCATAAAAGTAATTTTGTTACCTTCAATTCTATAATAAATGGAAGGATCAAGTCTAGAACGTTTCATACCAGATTTTTGTAAAGCATCATTCAATTTATTATTCCAAACATGACTTGCTTGTTTCAATCCATAAAGTGCTTTCTGTAACTTTAAAACATGTCCATTGGGAACTTTCACACAACGTTTAATTTTACTAATATATTAGTAACCACTTGCAGTAAAATACACATATTTATCAATATAATACATTTTAATATTATTGCTAATAAAAATTGCAACATTACTATGAAATTTCTAGCAGCTCACATTCACAGTATTCGTTTTATGCGTTTGTACAACAATCGAAATATATATTTTTGCTATAGTAGCGCACACACGCCATCGTTGTGCTGCTAATTGTTTCCTAGCAACAGTATGTTGTTTTGGTTCTGCTACTGCCAGTAGCAAAATGAGCAACTGCCAGTAGCAATTTATTTATTTTTTAAACACTTATTGGTAATACTTTTAGAAGGTATTTTCTATGCAATGTATACAGTGTAAAAACTTGTTAGTAAACAGTATTATATAATACATACATATGTACATACATACATATGTACATACATACATACATGCATACATACATACATGCATACATACATACATACATATTTTGTTTATCAAAAATAGACAGCAAACACAATAACAGAAAATTTTTCAACATTCTAGAATAACAAATGACAGTTGCTCATTTTGCTACTGGCAGTAGTAAAACCAACACAATTTATTGCACAATTTTTCTACGGCAATAGCAGTTCGACTGTTGTGTGCGTGCGCTGCTAAAACAGAAAAATATATTTTGATTGTTTTGAAATATTTTGCGCCTGCTAACAAAAATACCAAACAGAACAAATATTTCTAGTAGAAAAGTGATAGAAAAATTTTAAAGTTTTATATTTATTGCATAGTCGTACAAAAGAAATCTTGTGCTATTGCTGCATATTTAAACGCTGCTTTCACAACTGATGGCGCTTCAACATAAACATTTTCCAACAAATCACCTTGTAGAAAAGCAGTAACTGCATCCATTTGTTCAATTTTTAAATTGCATTGGTCTTGCTTTTTCAGTTAATGTTCTGTTAACACGTTCCGCAAATCCATTCTGTTGAGGACTGGATGGTACTGATTTTTGATGTTGAATACCCCACTTCTTTAATGCAGTTTCAAATGTTTTATTTATGTATTCTGTGCCATTGTCGCTTCTTAGTATTTTGATTTTGCTTTCTGTTTGATTTTCTGCAACAACAATATTTCCACCATTCTTATCGAATACTATTCGATTACCAGCACTACACATTTGACTCACTGATAAGTTTTCCGTTATATCTGGAACATATAAAACGTTTTTAACCGGGATTACATATTTACCATATTCTCCACAAATATTTATTTCAATATCACCCATTGATTTCACTTTTAGTGAGTGGCCACCTGCTGTTTTTATTTCACCTTCATATGGTTCAAATTTCTTTCTCCTTCGTCATATGTGCCGAAGCCCCAATATCAATGTACCATTTTGATTTATTATTCACATACCTACCGCTCAATGCATAAAACGATTCTTGAAATTTTTCTTTTTCTTCATGGTTGGACAATCAGCTTTAAAATGACCTAAGCCATTGCATCCAAAACATCTGCGTTCAGATCCATTTCCTTTTTGCTTTTTTTGAAACGTTTTCTTCGTAACTAATGCATGACATGAACTTTCGACTCTGACATCTTGAAGTAATTTCATCTTGATTGAATCAGCTGTTATTTTCGTACCACAGCTTCCAAGAGACATTATCATTGGTCTATACGTTTCCGGCAATCCTTTTAGTAGTAAACAGCCCAACCATTCATCATCTACAACAAAACCAATTGATCCCAATTTTTGAGATGCAATTACAATTCGTGATACATAGTCCTCAATTGAAGAACATTCTTCCAATTGAATTGAGCATAGCTTTTGTAACAAACCGACTTTTCTGTCCAAACCTGAATACTGGAACAAATCCTTAAGAGCTTTCCATACATGGCATGTCTTTTCGCAACCTCTAACATAGACATAAAGTGACTTATCCAAAGCTGCTTTTCATCTTCTTCAGGCTTGTAGTTTTCCAAGACAACATCTACATATTTCCACAAGTTTTCCAATCGTAATTGAGTTTCCATAGCAAAACTCCATGTTAGCCAATTTTCCGAACCAACAAGCTTTTCAAATTTCTCTATTTGACCAACCGCCATTTTCAGAATTCGTTAATTCTAGTTATTTATTTTTTTCGTTAAATTAATAAGATTAAAAATTGTATTTAAAAATCTCAATTTGCTGGGCCCATAACCTTTTAGTTTAGCAGAGAAAATATGAATAATATTTTATTGAAAATTTTCTAATTGACATAGAACAAATTACAAAGTTAAGTATGATTTCGTTTTATACATTTCGAACAAGTAAAAATGTAACAAGTTATAAATCTAACAAATTTTATGGACTTTTTTAAAAAAAGTTAAATGTAATTTTTCCAAATTTTAAAGAGTGTGATATTATACCTTAGGACTCTCTAGACAATATAACAAATTTAATTATTCATTTCACACACAAAAAATATTATTAAATTATGTTTGAAATTTGAAAAAAAAAAAAAAAAAAACAGATTTTGGCAATATTAGAGACGTTATCACAGCGCGAACTCAACTTTATTTACAAAATTAAAGTCCAATCTTTCGGCTTTAATTATAAGGCCCCCTTCAGAAAATGGCTATAACGACAATAACTTGCTTCAAAATTATAGTATACATATGTAGGTGTGAAATTCGACATAAACATATTTTGTGGATGTAATAAAATTTTTCAAGGGTATCTTATTTTATTTTATAATTTATATCGATACGTACGTGTAGGATACTCTATTGGGTAATACATTTCTCCCGCCATTGATTGCAAATCGTTTTTCCTCAAAAGATCTTTTCTAAAAAAAAAAAAATATATATATGTATATATATATGTATATATGCATAAGTATAATAAAGAACTATTCAGATATGATATAAAGTACAAATTATATTATTTTATTTAATTTCAAAATGTAGTTAACATTGGTGTTGATGTTATCGTTTGATGTTTCTGAAAGGGGATTTTTGTATTTATTTTTGATTTTATTTATTTAAAAACTTATTAATAACACAGGTCAACGAATTGAATGTTTGGAAAAACTTTTAAACCTAATCTGGCTAGATTCCATGTTCCGGAATAGGGTTTTGAATATTTAGTTCATATTGTCACTTTATTTCCCAAATAAAAGCGTCAATTAGTTTCAACTTCTTTACAAAACTACACAACAGTAAACTGTGTATTTATTTTCAACACTCGAAAGCACACTTGTCATTATTTTCCTAGGTTGACAATCGTTTCGAAGCGGTGATAAGGCACACAGGGAAAAATAAATATACAGGGAAAAATAAATACTAACACCAAAATTTTCAATAACATCCTTTGCCAAGTATATATACATATACATACAACAACAACATGTAATGTAGACCACGCAACTTTGTCAACATTGCAACAATTCGTTGTCGCAATCTAAACTTTATGCACATTCGCTGTCTAAAAATTAACAAACGTGGTAAGCTTAAAATACGTTGTCAATGGTGAGTTTACCACGGTATTGGTTTTTAGATATTAATATAACATATAAAAAATCGTAATAATCTAATAGTTTTTTAAATACATATGCTAAACTTCTTCGTGCAAAATTAAAGATTCTAACTCTAATAAATTCCCAGACATGCGAATTTTTGTATTTATTTCATACGCCCCCTAATGCTAGTCCGCTAATTTGTTACCCAAATGTTGAAATGGATGTTGGAATTTTAGGATTTTAGCTCTATTAGTTTCTCAGATATACGATTTTTTGTATTAAATCCATATAAAAGATTCCAAGGCCTCCTACTGAAAGTCCGCCGTTAAAGTTCTTCGCGCACAATTAAAAATATTGGTCCTATTCCCACCTTAAATTATCGGCTCTGAATCACTTTCTGAGTCTGTCCATCTGCGTGACTATATAAACAAATAACTTAACGAAATTTGGCACACACTTCTCTCTCACCCTAGCCCCCATAAATACATCCTTCAGAAAATGTCTTGAACTTCATTAATTTGCTTAAAAACATTACCACACGATAAAATTCAGAATAAATATAATTTATACAAAAATACATCCATTCACCAAACTCTATTTCAGAAAATAAATTTTTAATCAAAAAATTGTCTGAATGTAACAGAATTAAAGCAAAATTCTATATAAATGCGCTAATATTTAAATGAAATCATATTTTAAATATACTCATAATTGGTGTCAGAGATGGGGGTAGTGCACTAATTTTTAACTATCACTAATTATTAGTGGTAGTTCACTTTTATTTATGTTTAGTGATGAATTGAAAAATATAAGCCTCATTCAATAATAGTGATAGTGATATTTAAAATTTTTAACTAAAAATATTTTAAAAATAGTTAAAATATTTGTTTTTACAGCCTAGTGAAATAATTTTTTCTACACTAAATTATTAGTTCAAAAAATATTCCTGCACTATTTTTTTTTTTTCAACAGAGAAATGTTTCACTCATTTGAAAGTTTAAGCTAATAGGACAGTCTAGAAATGGTTTAAGTCAACCAAAAACTCATTGGACGAATATTATTAATAAGTAAAACGTTCATTATTTACAAAGGTTCCAAGCTATTGCCTAAAAAACATCCAGTAACCACATCATTTTGGCAACTGGCAACGCAGATGACGTGGCAATCGAGGTACAAAATTAACCAATTAATTTACTTTTCCGAGGAGAGTTCACCATTCCGCTAAAGGAAACATCGTTATACTTGAGCAGAAGAAGGCAAAATTTTGGAATTTAGGTGTTTCAACCATTTCTTTTTAAAGCATGAGATGTTGTTGGGATAACTGCATATGTAGGGTCCATCATAGTGCCATCGCTAACAAATTCTGTATTTTCCATTTTAATAGATGTATCTTTTAAAAAATTGAATCATTTATTGTCTTACAAATTTTTTCATTTTTATCAAAAAAATAGTGCAAAGAAAATTATTGAAGCCTTTTGTTAGTGACTGTTCAAATTTTTAACTATTTGAGTGTAGTGCTTGTTTCTACACTATCACTCAATTGAGTTATAGTTAAAAAAATTAAATTATCACTAAAAAATATTAGTGCTAAAAATATAAGCTTCACTACCACTAAGCTCCAGAAAATTAGTGAAAAATATATTTTTTGAAATAATATTTAGTGCTAGTTAAATATTGATTTAACTAACAATTTAGTGCACTACCCCCATCTCTGATTGGTGTAGGGTATCATGGTCAGCCATATTCGACTACACATCCTTGTTTTAATTCGCACATGTTCGTTGTTTAAATGGAGCTTTCCCACTTTCAGAAATCTAATATGTATTTGATATACGTATATGTAATGATGTTTCTTAGGCTTTATAATTATTATCATTCTTGAGATCGTGATTCAGTTAAATTAGTTTTAAAGTACATAAAGCGGTAGCTCTGTCATCAAGAACCTACATATGTATATAGTGTCTTTTATAAAGAAAAATTACATTACGTCCCAGCAAAAAATAATTGATGTCATACTTTACAACCTACATCTAAATCACATCTTAAAATGAGATTACATATTTTTCACTTTTATAAACCGAATATTTTCTTAAAAATGAAAACCAAGTTAAAAGTGGGGAAAGAGTTGTGCAAAAGTGATTACAAATAACATATTTGAAGTACATCAAGATTTGGTGAAAGAGTAGTGAAATTTACATAAGCGTGTCATTAAGAGGATATGTTTTATTTTTGACATCCAAATATCGGATTTTTACTGCTTCTAAAAATAAGATTAGATGTAGTTCAAAATTGCCAAAAATTAAAAACATCCCTCCAATGACACGCTCATGTAACCCAGCAAAAAAAGTGTGGAAAAAGATGTAGAATTTTCATTACAACTAGTAACCCGAAGTGCTTCAAATTCGGGTGTAAAACCTATGAATTTTACATTAGCGTGTCATTGGAGGGATGTTGTTCATTTTTGGCAGCTTTGAACTACATCTGATCTTATTTTTAGAAGCAGTAAAAATCCGATATTTGGATGTCAAAAATAAAACACATTCTCTTAATGACACGCTTATGTAAATTTCACTACTCTTTCACCAAATCATGATGTACTTCAAATATGTTATTTGTAATGACTTTTCCACATCTCTTTCCTCACTTTTAACTGGGGATTCATTTGTAAGGAAATATTTGGTTTATAAAAGTGAAAAATATGAAATCGCATTTTAAGATGTGATTAAGATGTGGTTTGTAAAGTATGACATCAAATATTTTTTGCTGGGAAAATTCATAGCCCAGCAAAAAATAATTGATGTCATACTTTACAAACGACATCTTAATCACATCTAAAAATGCGATTGCATACTTTTCGCTTTTATAAACCAAACATATACTTACAAATTAAAACACAGTTAAAAATGAGAAAAGAGATGTAGAAAAGTCACTACAAACAACATATTCGAAGTACTTCAAATTTTGATGAAATTTACATAAGCGTTTCATTGAAAGATTGTGGTTTATTTTTGACATACAAATATCGGATTTTTACAGCTTCTAAAGATAAGATTAGATGTAGTTCAAAGTTGTCAGAAATGAACAACATCCCTCCAATGACACGCTAATGTAAAATTCATAGGTTTTTCACCTGAATTTGAAGCACTTCGGGTTACTAGTTGTGATGAAAATTCTGCATCTTTTTCCACACTTTTTTGCTGGGAGCTTTTACACCCGAATTTGAAGCACTTCGGGTTCCTGATTGTGATGAAAATACTACATCTTTTTCCACACTTTTTTGCTGGGATGTAAAAGAGAAAAAGGGATTTTGTAAGCAAAAAGGGTCATCGTATTTAAAATCATTAAATTTGTATTAAAATGTGTATTAAATTTGTAAATAAATCAAAATAATTAACCTCATTACATCTTATATGCTCACTAAACTAATATATTTCTATAAAAAACCTAAATAAAATCGTTGATTTTATCCGTCTTCTTATAAACATATTATTTTCATAAAATGTATGGGCTCATGGCTTAAACGTAACTTCTAAGACAATTTTATAGAATTTGGCACATCATAGTCCAAGCCACGAAGCCTATTGCAACCGATCCATTGTTTCACCTATCCCACATATAACCGTGGAGCTCATAATTAGTATCTCTAAAAAATCAGCTCATCATAATTTTATTTTTTAAATTCTGGGTCGATTTAGCTGTGTCCGTCTGTGTGTTCATCTGTCTGCCACATGTTAGGCCATTCCGGACTATACATTCTTACTTGTTATACCCTCCACCACCATCAGTGGTGATAAAGGGTATATATAAGTTTGTCATTCCGTGTGTAACACAAAGAAATATTTTTTTGAGACCCAACAAAGTATATACATACATATATTCTGAATCCTTGTGAAATTCTGAGTCTGTCTGTCCATCTGTCAGCTTCAAACACTCTCACGATAAAACTAAGCAAAAGAAATCAGCCAAATACACTGAAAATATTCACTATTGTCCAGCAGTTTGGTATTGAAAATTTGGTATTGAGTAAAAATTTCAGACTACCTCGAAAAAAAATAAGATAATTGGATGAATTTTGTCACACGTTACACAGTAGTATAGGAAAAAAAAAAGAGGGAAATAATTCGGTAACTTCTAAACGGTTAATCCGATTTTAATGAAATTTGGTATGCACAAAGAGGAGGTGTTGTCGATTTTGGACCTTATAGGCCAACCAGGGGGCCGGCGGGGAGTCCTCAAATAAGGACACCTCGGCTATGTTAAATTTTTAAAACGATCCTATTTCTTCAGTAAATTATCTCTTATAGTTTAGGAGATATTCGCATTTGAAAATTAAAATTTTAAAATTTTTACCGACCTTACTTTAGTTTTTTTGATAATAGCGGGTCCAAATATTCCCGATTTTCGCTTAACAACAAGTTTATATATCAAGCAGTGAAAGAATTATGTAAAAATCATGACTGAGTCCAAAGTTATAGGCATTTTAATTTAAAAAATAAAAAAAAGGCGATTTTTTGTCATTTTTTTGGGAAAAAAGTATCTTTTTCTTTTTAAGTTATCTAAAAAGTTTCTAAGAAGATGTATATAGAATTTATACTTTTTGGAAAGCTGACTTTACATAAAGTACGATAAATGAAACAAAACCTAAAAATTTTTGATACCGAGGGGACCTGGTCCATCCAAAAAAACCCTATTTTTTATGGAAAATTCAATTTTGAGCAAAAATTCTCAAATCGCATAGTCGATATCAAATTATAGTGACCTGTTTTATATGACCCAATATGTTCTTAATCATTTTGTAACGGGTTTCGATAACCCTGCCCCTGGTATGGATATAATAGGCAAAAAACCAAAAAATCCCATTTTTGGGATTTTTTAAAACTTTTTTGAGAATTCCGGGATTTCTAATAAGAAAATTCGAAATTTTTATTTAATTTTGGATTTTGAGTAAAAAAATCTACCTAACTGTAAAATTTCATCAAAAAATATTCATAAATAAAATTTTTATTGCAATTTGAAAAAATTGTATTTTCACAAAAACTGAATAAAAAACATTTTTTAATTTTTTTTTAAAAAAGTATTCCGCGAATTTTTTATACTTTTTTAAAAAAAAAAATTAAAAAATGTTTTTTATTTTACTTTTATTTTATTTTGCGAAGATACAAATTTTTCAAATTGCAATAAAAATTTTATTTATGAATATTTTTTGATGAAATTTTACAGTTAGGTAGATTTTTTTACTTAAAATCCAAAATTAAATAAAAATTTCGAATTTTCTTATTAGAAATCCCGGAATTCCCAAAAAAGTTTTAAAAAATCCCAAAAATGGGATTTTTTGGTTTTTTGCCTATTATATCCATACCAGGGGCGGGGTTATCGAAACCCGTTACAAAATGATTAAGAACATATTGGGTCATATAAAACAGGTCACTATAATTTGATATCGACTATGCGATTTGAGAATTTTTGCTCAAAATTTAATTTTCCATAAAAAATAGGGTTTTTTTGGATGGACCCGGTCCCCTCGGTATCAAAAATTTTTAGGTTTTGTTTCATTTATCGTATTTTATGTAAAGTCAGCTTTCCAAAAAGTATAAATTCTATATACATCTTATTAGAAACTTTTTAGATAACTTAAAAAGAAAAATATACTCTTTTCCCAAAAAAATGACAAAAAATCGCCTTTTTTTAATTTTTTAAATTAAAATGCCTATAACTTTGGACTCAGTCATGATTTTTACATAATTCTTTCACTGCTTGATATATAAACTTGTTGTTAAGCGAATAAAAAAAATGGCGAAAATCGGGAATATTTGGACCCGCTATTATCAAAAAACTAAAGTAAGGACGGTAAAAATTTTAAAATTTTAATTTTCAAATGCGAATATCTCCTAAACTATAAGAGATAATTTACTGCTACGACCCCCGCCGGGCCCCCTATTGGCCTATAAGGTCCAAATTCAAAACCTAAACTCGACAACACCTCTTTGTGCATACCAAATTTCATTAAAATCGGATTAACCGTTTAGAAGTTACCGAATTATTTCCCTCTTTTTTTTTCCTATACCACTGTGCGTCAGGACAAAAAATTTGAGAAATGGTATTTTAGAATGAATTAAATTTCCATTTTCGGTGGGAACAACAGGAACTTTCATTTTGTAGCCTCCCTACTGGGCACCTCTAATGTGCCTTAAATTAATAAAGAATGAGAAAAAGCTTAATATATTTTTGGGATGTTTGAAATTTGGCTTTGAACTCATTATTTATGAACCAATTTTGCCGATTTTATATAGGAAAAGTTAAAAAGTTTCCGCGGCATTCGCTTTAAATTTTTTAATATTTATTCTATACGAAAGTATTTTCAGTGGTTGTTGCAAACATCGTCACAAATGCATAATACCCTCACCTTATTTTATACCAAGTTCATAATTTTTTAGAATATTTGTGTGTGTATAATACAAAAATATATTTGTTTCAAATTAAGTAATATATTTTCTATTAGCATTTTTTGTAATTATACCCACCATCAAAAAAGATGGGGGGTATATTGATTTTGTCATTCCGTTTGTAACACATCGAAATATTGGTCATAGACCCAGAAAAGTATATATATTCTGGGTCCTTATTAAATTCTAAGACGATCTAGCCATGTCTGTCCGTCTGTCTGTTGAAAGCACACATACATATTTTTTATACGAGTTGAAACCTCTCTACCAAATGTATTGAGTATCGGTCCATAAGAAAATTACTTTAACGGTCTTTGCTGACTTAAAAATACGTGAACAGTTATGAAATTTTATATAAAAACATTTATAGGAACATAAATCTTCCTACCCAATTTCATGCGGAAAGTGTCGGGAAGTGATATTCGATGTAAAGATGTTTTGTATGAACCAAAATTGGCCTAAACATTTTTTATGAAAAACGGTCAATTATTAACCCTATCTCTCATATAAGGTCCTCATCAGTTAATTTGATGAGTAATATCCTTTTAAGGCATACGGTTTGATGGTGGGTATAGAGATTCGGCACAGGCACAGAATATAACACTCTGACTTGTTTTATTTTTTATTTGTCTCTAACTAATGAAAACAAACAGCTGATTATGATAAATAGCCGATAAAAAATAGAGATGACACTTATTCATTCATTCGTAATGCATACGTAGTAATTCAAACTGAATTACATACAGCTTGTGTATTTCGCAGCTGTATTTTTGTATGGCCAATTATGTCATACAGTTTATAATTGGGAGTTGAATGACGAATGAGATGGTGAATGACGAATAATTGCATCATGTGAACGGGGTATTAGTCTTTAAAAAGTTAATACTACCTTTTCGAAATGACAGGTTTAATTTATATTACTTACTATTTCATGTTCCATTATACAAGCTTCTGCAATTCTAAACCATAGTCTTGGATTGCTGTGATAGGTTTTTAGAGGCACAAGGAAACATTGGAATGCTTCTTTGGGTCTCCTTAAATGCAGCATAGCAATTCCCAAATTATAGAGAATTTCACAAGATTTCACTGAACTCATATGATGTAACCGGATATTGCGAAGATTTACTGCTACATGTTTATCAAACGATATTGCATTTTGAAAGAAGTTGGCTGCAATTGCATAATGCCGGACCCGTAAGTGTATAACACCCATGTTATTGGCGATTAGTGTATTTAATTCCTTATTATAAAAACTAAAAACTTTCATAATTATGTATATTGTTAATGTACTAAGGGAAATTGGCAATTAAATTTCTAAGACGAAATTATTCGTCTGCTATAGACTAGATCTTTGATTTCGTCTGCTTCAAAATAACGGTAACCAATACTTCCTTTTGTTGTATATCCCCTTAACTGTAGGTTTTCAAATAAATTTGTTTGTTTCTGAAACAATTTAGAACTCGAGTTTTATAATAATTTTGTACGTTGATGGCCTGGATAAACATATTCTCTTTGATACCAGTTACCTAATATGTATCAAACATGGCGATGAATCCATTGTGGTATTTAGTAAGAATCGAGATGTTTACAGTGAAATCACTGATATGCCATGCACTTACAAGATCACTTGGCCACTGCTAATAACTTTTCGAATATAAAATAAAAATCTTAATTTTAATATTTGTTCGAAATTGGGAAATGTAAGAAATTGGGCTCAAATAGAATTTTTTCAATTCAATTTCGCGTTAAATAAAGTCGTAGAATATGGTTGTTGAAATATAATTTATTATATTTTGAAAGCGTATATTTTTATGCTCACAATTTTAGATACTTATTCTCTCAACAGCGCTTCCATACTTTCAAAATATTTTCATACATTTTAAATGATAACCTAACCTAAAATATCGCTATTGAACAGAGATTAATAGTAAATCTCTGTTCAATAGCGATATTTTCTAATTTGTTTTAAACGTAATTTTATGAAAAATACACTAGTGAGCAAATTTACATGTTTGTAATATGTACACTTTATTTTGAATCAAAATAAAACTAAAAAAAGCGAATCCAAAAATTTTTGTTGTGATTTCTTTTCTACATAATATTTAACAAAATGAATTACAATTTGAACAAAAATCGTAAATTTCTGAGCAAAAAACAAACAAAAATAAAATAACTCGCATGCTCTCAGTTTTTCTCGATGAGTCTACAAAATCGGAATGATGAGTCTTTGCCCAATATTTCGTCATCTATTTTCATTGGTACAAGGTGGCACTATGCAAACCAATCCCATTCCATAATCGTGCTTTACTGTTTCCTTGCGATGGTGCCTTTGATTTATCTTTCCAGGGCGGAGACAGCCATTTTGACAGAATCTACGGATTTTGCAGACTCATTATCTCACCTTTGTAGATTTATCATCCCAAACTCATCATCCTGGTCCCCCCAGGGCATGTTTCCTTGATGAAAGGAAACATTTCAAAAAAGAACAATTTATAGAAAAGCGTTCTAATAAGTAATTTATTTAACATCGGACTTCAGTCGTAATTCAGATCAGAGTTGGGGAACAACACTCGCATCACCGTCATTATTTTTTAAGGACGGTCAGGCCTGTGTTTCTTGCCTGGCTTCTAGAAAGTTTGTCTCGCTCGAACCAGTGTGGTGTATTACATCGCATAACTTTTTAAAGTTATGCGTTGTTTTTCATCAACCTCGTGCTTTTTAATTCATGTTCAGGGGGCTCATACTTCCTATATGAAAGTTTAGGTCTATTGTGGGCTCCACCCTGAACCAACGTGGGATAACCTGACAAATTGTGTGTCTGTAACACCGCCATTAAATTTTTAATAAAAAAATAACATTGAACTTTGTAAATAATATTAAAAATGCTAGCCTTCCCTAAAGATTTCGTGGCGAGCAAAACTGAGTGCATGCGAGTTATTTTAGTTTTAGTTGTTTTTTACTTAGAAATTTACCTTTTTTGGCTTAAATTGTGAATTATTTTAGTAATTATGTAAAAAAGAAATCACAACAAAATTTTTTGGATTTGCTTTTTTAGTTTTGTTTTTATTCCAAACAAAGTGCACAAATTACAAACATGCACTCACATTTGCTCGCCAGGTACTATTTAAACCAATTTTAAATTAAGTACAGTGGTTTCCCGGCTTAACGAAAGATTTAATGTCAGGTCCATTCGTAACAACGAAAAATTCGTTAAACCGAATAACAACTTTTCTATGATTTAATGATAAAAATAGGGTAATGGAAGGTAGGAAGTCTATCTTTTAAAGATTTTATGAAAAATTTTATTAAAATTAGGTAAAAAACACAATTTTTTTGTTTAATGAAGGTAAAGTTGTTTCATTTCGAAAATGAATTCTTTTCTTATAAAAGAAAAACAAATTAGGCATTTGATCCCCATTTTAATCGATGTGAAATTCTAAGTATTTTACGGTAATTTTCATTACAAACAATTCCTTTTCTCACCTTATTAGAAAATAATCATAATATTCCCATAAATAAAGAATTTCATATTAACATGTATGTCTATAAATCTTATTTATATTTCAGAAAAAATTGTTTAACTGTTATTTTCATTTCTATTCCAGGATTTTTGTATTTGTAGATTTCGTACCCATTGAATTGGGTACTGAACTTACATAAAATCTTAATATGTTATTGCTTTTGGTTAATAATGATGTTTAGTGATCTCTCAGTATTATTTTCATCTCCTTTTATAGAAAATTTTTTAGAAATTCGTTATATCGAATACTCATTTATTCGTAATATAAGATACTCAATGGAAACAATTTGCCCGTTAAATCGTTTTCATTAAAATTTCGTACCAGAATTTGATAAATACGAGAATAATACTATCCTGTCTGTTCTGTAATCGGAATAAATTTATTTTTCTATATTTTACGTTCAAATAAAAATTCGATTTGCAGAACACTAAATTTCAAACGAACATCTGTTGCATTTTCATTTCAATTTGCCGTTATTTTTTATGAACAGACGAAATCAAAAATATTATGGCCTATCATTCAAAAGATCCAGAAAAATCAAAAATGTTAATTACCAAGTACTGAATAATTTGTCTTTACTTACTCATTCACATATCGGTAACCGTTAATCTTGTTTAATTGTTTTGCCGCCATTTGGAAATCTTTCATTATGTAATATTGATGTGCCTTTAATGCCGATAACTCAGGAGACTAAAATTGTATGTAAGTATTATATTTTTATTATTATTATTATTATTCGATATTATGTTTATATGAGTTTATAACTTACAACATCCTCTGGCACCATAACGGGCTTTTTGTTAACAACCTGTGTTAACAATGACATCAGTTTTAAACCTTTTCCTAAGTTATCCTCTAATCTAGGTAAAGACTCTTGAATATTATAATCATCTGAAGTTAGATGTAATATATTTATCCCCAATTTATGCAAAAATACTTCGAGAAAAAACAATGCTTTTTTAGGTTGGTTAGACGCCAATAGAAGTCTCAGCTCTAAAATACCAAGCATTGCTAGCACGTTTTCATCATATGTGTTTATTTTGTTGAATAATGGCTCCATTATATCCAGAGCCGCTTTATACATGTGACGATGATAATAAATTACTGCTTTATTATATGTTGTAAAAAATGTTAACGGAGATACAATAAGATCTTTTTCAGAAGTATGCTAGAAATATAGTTTTAAGTATTCATTATATTCTCATCATTACTAATGTTTAGTTTTTTTTTTATTTTATATGTACATTAGGGTGTCCCCTGGACCATTTTTTTGGAGGAATACCTCTCAAACGATGCGTTTTAAGCACTAAATACGAGAAAATTAAAAAACTATTTTTTTGAAAAGGTAGTCAGTTCCCTACCAGCTATTGAAAATCTTGATCTCAGTAAAATATGTTCAAATAAAATTTTCTGCAATCTTTTCGAAATGTGTCTCAAAAATTCCGTAATTTTGAGCTTATCGCGGGAAAAATAATTAAAATTTTTGTTAGTGTATTTCTGATCCACAAAACAACTTTTAGGGCCAATCTTTAGGTGAAAGATTAGCGATTAAATTAAAATTAATCCTCGAAAGATGTTTTTGAGTACTCAATTAGTTAATTTTGTTTGCAAGTTTAAGCGCCCAATGGAGGTGGTTTAAACTTAAGCACGAAAAGCAAAAGTGTAAACAGCTGATGCAAAAAACTTAATACTATTTTTACAAATATAAACATTAAAATGTTCTATTTATTGATTAGTATAAATTATGGACACTTCAAAATACATTTTTTTTTTTTAAATTAAATTTTCATTAATTTTCATATTAAATTTACAATTGTCTTCTTCTTTTTTATAAAATATGCATTGTTTTGATAACAAACAGTGGCGTTTTCTGTTGTTTTGTATGGCAAACTGCGAAGTTTAATCTTGTACTCAAAAACATCAAAGAGGATTAACATAAGATTAAATTTATTTTTTGATTAACTAATCTGATTATTAATTGACATTTGATTGACATTTCAAAAACCCGCTCTTAGTGTGTTATAAGGGGCATATCGAGGGACTATATTCAATAACACAAGTTTTCTTCTACAATATATTTTTAAGACCATATTCTAAATCGTTAAATAAAAAGAATTTAAAATTTAGCATTATTTGCAGAATTATTCACAAATTTATATCAGATAGAGCTTTTTTTCAGATAGAGAGTTTTTCATAGAAATATACATTTTTTATTTGATTTAATATCAATAAATATATTTTATGCAATTTAATGAAGTAATAAAAACCAAATTGTTGAAAAAGCAACAGATTATAAGATTTTAGTCCAAAATCAATGTTACATGGATAAAGACGGAAGGAAAATATTTTCTAACAAACACTTTATTGAAATAAATTTAATTTTCAGTAAATATTTTTACTGATTCAATAAATGTTTTTATTTGAGTTTCATTTTTAAATCAGCATATCGATACCCTATATTCAAAAAGTGCTAAATCAATAAAGTCTAGTTTTCAGGAAAGCAAAAAAAACTATTTAATTCGTGAAATATTGCACTAAAAGACAATATTTCTTCCATAATACGTTTTTAACATCCTTACTAATTCTTACCTATGAATAGCACTTTTTGGTCGACAAAAAAACAAATATTTGTTCTAGCATGTTTTGTTCAAAGAATAGAACAAAAATTTCTTCTAATAATATGCGTTATTTTATAATTTTATGAAATGTTTTTTTTTTTTTTTTTAAGGGATATAAGTCAAACCAGTAAGTCCAATAAGATGCATTTACACCATTTAAGTAGAAAAACTCATGGCATATCTGCTTGTTTACTATTCCTTATTCTCAGTACAAATATTTTAAATTATGAAAAGTTTTTGAATATAAAAAGTACCAATATTTTTTGAATAATACTCCATAATTTGCACATTTAAAGACTTTTTTATAATCAAAATTCTAAATTGGAACCATAGAATATTATAGATCTTAGTTTTATAAACGATTTCTGAAATAACTTTAAATTTTTCGAAAAAACATTATTTAAAGTCTAAAACTGGCTTTATATACAAATATGTAAATGATCATATCTTAAAAACTATACATTCAATTTATTAATCTTCGCCTGTTTTGTGTTCAGCATGTTCATCTTGTTAATATACAAAATAAATTTTAAATAAATTTGAAGTTTTAAAAAATGTTGTAAAATTTGTATGGAAGTTAGCACTTATTTTCTTCAATAAAAATTTAACTTTGAGATAGCATATTAACAAAAATTGTTGTTAAAAGTGCAAAAATTACTTTTTTGGTTTCAAATTTATACCAGACGTGGATCATGCATTGAGGAATCCTTTTGCATCAAAAACTCACTTTGCCCAAAATTGAGTTCGCACTTTTTGAATATAGGGTCACGATATGGAATACAACAATAAAACCAGTTTTGGAATGTTCTAAAATGAATTGATATAATTCTTATTTGGTTTATAACATTTAATGAATAATTGTTTCAGTTTTCACCATAGCAGAAATAAAGAAAGTAGAGCCAATCAAAATTTGTTTTCAAAAATAAGGTTTTTTGAAGTTTAATTTTCTCTTATTCATTATGTGTAGCGTTGCCACAATAAAAAAAAAATATTTTAATTTTCAAGAAATTATTTATGACAAATGTGTAATTTATAATTTTGCATTAAAAGCTGCACATAGATGATCAGAAATAAAAATGTATATTGTTAAAAGCAATTGATTTGATTAAGTTAGTACAAAATTATAATAACAACATAATGAATTGAGATTTTTTTTAAAGTTTTTATTAATATACATATCCTTTTGGCTTTAATCCATTATATTTTGGCTATAATCAAGTCAATAGTCTTGTCTATAGACCAAATATGGACGCTAGACTGGACTATATACTAGACTATAGTCTGGACTATAGACTAGACTTTAGACAAATCTATATGCCTCCGGTAGGTTCTAATCTGTCAGACTGGAGGTCGTAGATTCGATTCCCACCAAGAGGCCCGATGGTGGCCTAGGACACTAGTATTAAAAACACTATAAGCAATTTAACACTTTAAGCAAATATATAAACCAATAACGCGGACAACGTTTCGTAGTGTTTAGACAAAAGAACAGCAGGAGCCATTGGAATAGCCGACCTGTAGCACGGCAGCAACTGACCGCGAACTCACAATAGCAGGTTAACTTCATTCCGGAAATACGGTCTGAATGGAACGCATCCAGACTTTTATTCTCATTATCATCTGCTTCAACAATGTCATATATTTAATACAGAGGTCAAGCATATTTTTCACACTCAAAGATTCTCTCGGCTTCAACACAGACTGCATGTCAAGAAATCTTTTAAAAGGTCTGTTCTTCCTGGATTCAGACAAAATTTCGTTCAAAGCAGCAACAGCGATCTCTAACCTCTAATCATTGTCCACTACCTAACAATTCATACTATACAGCCTTCACTCCATGTAACTCTTAATCAGGGAATATGTTATACACTCAAACCTCTTTTCCAATTGAATTAAAACTATTAAATTTTTAAATGTAAACTTCAAACTAAAGAAGAAAAATTAAAATGAATATGGTAGCACGATTTTAACGAAAACTTTAAAATCCTTAAGCATGTCACATGGAGAATTTGAAAAAATAAAGAGAGAATGACACTACCTTCCTTATTTCTACTATGGTTTTCACAGTATAAAATAATAGTTTCTAGAATTAGAAACGTTTACTTAAAAATGTTGTAAGTATATATGTAATTTTTTTAAAAATTTTAGTTTTAAATTTTTTAGTAAAATTTTTGTTAAAATTTAGTATATATTTTTAACAAAATTTTTATAGATTCAATAAAAAATGTTGCTTCTTATTATTGCCAAAATACAATAAATAATTTAACTGTTTCAGATAACATATTTGCTTGAATTTCAGTACAAATACTAATAACTTGTGTTCAAAGCTCTAAAAGAATTCATTCCCTAATTCTTTTTTTAAAATTGAGTCATATTTTAAAGAATTAACAATTCTTCAAACTCATTCCCTTTGATTTAATTCCTAGAATTAATTCTTAAAGCTTTCGATGTAGTTGAATTAATTCTCAAATGAATTAATTCCTATAGAATGTTAAATTCCTTCTGAATGAATTAATTTTGTTTGCATTCAATCTGTTACAAATTGAATTAAAATAAATTTCAATAATTCCTATTGATTTTTAATTCCCTCTGAATGATATAAATTTTGTTTGAATTCAATCTATTACAAATTGAATTTAAAAATTTTTCAACCATTCAATTTGAAATAGATTGAATGAAAGTTTTGTTTTATAATTCAAAAGCATTCTGTATATTAAAAATTGAATTAAATTTTTTTTTCTTTCATTCAATTTGTAATAGAAGGAATTAAACAAATATGAATGATCATTCAATTGAATTCATTCCTATAAAGAATGAATTCTCTTAGGAATTAATTCAATGGAATATAAAGCCAAGGAATTCAGCTTTAGAATTTAAATTCAAAGAATGATTTTAAAGAATAGTACATTCAAAAATTTAAAGCCGAATTAAAAATATAAGGGAATTAATTCCAAATAGAATTCATTCTTTCCAAGCTTTGCTTGTGTTATTGTTTCAGTAAAATAATTGTTTGGAAATGTTGCGAATATTTATTAATGTTTTTCGTAAATAGTATATTATTTTAATAAGAAAAATTCTGAAATTTTTTTTAAAAAAGAATTTACGAATTTGAGTACTTGATTTTACGAATTTCGTGATAGGTCCTATTTTAGTAAAAAAAATACTTGGCTTTATGAATTTTTTGTTTGATTTTGAATTTAATTTTTTTCTGTGCAAATTAGTAAAAGCATTTTTTTTGCAACAGAAAATTATGCAAAATAATAGAGTTTGAAGCTATTTTTTGGATAAGATAGAGAGTTTTGCATTCAGAATTTTTCTTTTTATAAGATAGAGAAATTTTAAATATTTTTTTCTTTTGAAATTTATGTCACTGATGGGGGTTAGTAGTTTGCTCGATATTTTGCCATCAAAATCTTATTTTCATGAAAATGACAGATAGAGACTATTGAATATAGTCCCTCGATATACATTTCAAAATAATCTAAAAAATTCTGAAATGGTCCAAACCACATACCAAACTATTTTTTAAATATTTTTCAGAATAAACTAA